AACTAAAGTAGTTAATGTCCATATTTCTTCTCTTCTTTGGTCTCCAGACCTTTGTATTAATCCATGAAGTCTTTTGTCTATTACAGGCCATGGTCACACTAATGTACATCAATCTGGACAAGACACTAACATGTCAGATGTGGTCTTCTACACTACAAATGTCAGATTCTAGAGTTCTGACAGAAACAACAGGAGTTCACTCTGTTCACTTATTGCATGTTGATTTTCAAATAGCCAAACCTAATACAGATTTTGCCAGCAGATCATATTTTGTTAGACAATTGCACAATTACAAATGTCAGTGTCTGCACCATAGAATATAAATACTATCTGCTAACCTAAACTACAGTATCAGTATTAACTGCACTGCTGTTTTGAGACTACAGTCAAATCAGTCTTGTACCAAGATACGGAAATTAGGAAGCACATATTGTATGATTCGCTTAACTGAAATATAAAGCAAGTAGCAAAGGAGCTGGAGGTGATGGAACATTCTTCTACGACCTGCATTGTTTTTTGTTTGTTTGTTTGTTTGTTTTAGCCAGTTGGGGGCAGCAGAATAACCTGCAAACACATCACTGCCAGATTATCACCTTATATAAAGTTCAGATGGTGAAAATAGTAAACAGATGCCTGCTAACACATCAGACAGACAGACAAACATCATCACAAAGCTGAGTCTTTTTTTAGTGAGTTTGACATCAGAACACTTTTCACATCACACATTGTCATTTAGGCCATTGTTCATATAAAAAACTGATTAGCACATTATTAGGGTTTTTGCAGCACAAAAGGACTTGGCATTTCCTTTGCAGGGTTAAAAGAGACTGGAGCTCGGCTTGTGCTGAGAGAGGCAGAGTACACTGTGGACAGATTGCAAACTTCTGTTACAGGGCTAACAGTGATCAGCCACAACATTACAGCCACCTGCTCAATGTTGTGTAGGTCCCCCTTGTGCCATTAAAACTACTCTGACCGGTTGAAGCATGGATTCCATAAGACCTCTGACCTTGTTTGTCCAGAACATCCTACAAATGCTTGATTGGATTGAGTCCTGGAAAATTTGGAGGCCAAGTCAACTCTTTGTCATCTTCCTCAAACCATTGCTGAACAATTTTTTGCGGTGTGGAAGCGCATGTTATCCTGCTGGAAAAAGGCCACTGCCCTCAAGGAGTATCCTTGGCATGAATGGGTGTACTGTACTTGGTCTGCAACAGTGTTTGGGTAGGTAGCATCTGTCTGACCTTTTATGTGCCCATTATAGTGAGGGTTGTTATGGTATGGGATTTTCAGGATGCAGTAACATCTCAGAAATGACCATGGTTTCACAGTACAAAATATTATACAATTTTTAAATAATGCTGTGAAATTGTTCACCAACATATTGGTTACAGAAACCAATTATAATTTTATAATTGCTTAGGGCCCCAGCAGACCCAGGACTGGCCCAGCTGCCGGTGGTTTTAATGTTGCAGCTAAACGGTGTATAAAGATTCAGAAAAGCCTTTTCTCCCCCTTCACATTACAACTCAAGACTGGCACCTGTGGGTTTTTTTTGTTTGTTTTTTTTTTGCCAAATGTACGTATACTCTTGAGATTGTAAGTAGTCAATTTACACCAATAGAAAAACATGCTTTCAGAACCCAGACTGGACTGCAGCAAAGCTCACTATAGTACAAGTTCAGATCTTCAGGAAGTTTGTTTTATTAAGTTGAAGCATGCAAGTGATTTTACTTCATATTACTAGTAGTAGCATTAAGCAAACAATACTAAGTACCTATTATTAATACTCGAAGGTCCAAGTAATGACTGTAGCTGCCCTCAGTAGTATATTTTTTCATACCCTTGCTTAGCAGTGCATATCCCCTCCCCCTGCTACCTGACATGCCCCTAAACCTGAATAGAATCGGTGGTCTAAACCTATTCATAAAGTCATGTATCCCTCAGGTTATAAGTCCTCTTCATAGCTTTGATATTTATATCCTGGTACTCTAAGATCTCTAAGGTCTCCTTATCTCTACTTTGAGAAATGCGTGGCAAATGGTGCTTTCAAACTAGTGCTGAAAATCACAGCATGTTTAAAACATATGGCAGCATACATGGTAGATTAAAAGCATCCTTTGGCTCTCTCCAAATGAAAGTCAATGTGGTTATAACAAATAGTGGAAGATGACTCATCCTAACACTTTCCACTGAACAGAGGCACAGGTTTTCTACTTGTTACACCAGGTTGTTTTTGTGTGTTGGCCTTGTTTGCGATTGGTCTTGTAATGGCAGCCCTGCCTATGAATTCCATTTTGCTGCTCATGGCGTACTGTTTTTATTGAAATGGGTCACAGAGGTGCAGATACAGTGCTGAGGTAATTTTCAGCATGTATCTCTTTGGCATTAACCATCTACAACAACCCACTGTGTGTCTGTCTGTGCTCATGACCTTTGTTACCAGTGCAGTTTGTCTG